TAAGGCAGCAATTGAACTCAAGTTTTTAAGTTTAACCACCCTAATAATTTTTACAGTGTAGCTTGAGTTAGTTTAATTTGTTGGAGCCCACTTCCAACTCCTGAATAAACGCAGCCTACAAAAAGAAGAAAAACAAACATACGTGTCGGGTTCACTTAAGTATTGTGCGAGTAGAAAAGTGAAATGCTAATTCTTGTTGGGGGTTATCTTCTGTGGCCTTAATTTCTTAATAAAATAATTTGATGCATTTATTGTTTACACAGTATGCGCACACAGCAAGCCTAAACACAGAGATAATGACTGCTCATCCCCGTTAATGTTTGTGTGAGCAGCGCCAAGTTCAGTGCGGCAGAGTTCTTTAAGCTGTCATCCAGGTGTGTTTTCCCAACTGTGTGTGCGCGGTAATCTTAATAAAAAAAAAAATAAAAAAAAAAAACACACAATGAAATCCAGAACTCAAGTGCTTGAATGAAATACTACTATATATTAGACAATCTATGTTAAGTCCGTGTTTATATGTCGTCTTTGAGCAACATTTTTTGTTTTGCTCACGAGTTTGTGATTCGTGAAACTATCTGCTATGCGAGCAGCTTGTTTACATTTTAAAGTCTGGAAGTGCAACGCAGCTATTAGCTGTAAGGACCTGACAGATGGTTGCTTAGTTCTATTTTGCAGCCCATTTAATTAAACCATTTTTTTTTTCTTTAATGTTTTGGTCACGTAAACAAAAACGATCCTGCAGTCTGTGCCCTACTGCCTCTGCGTGTGTTACGCACATTTACGTCTTTTACGTTGCTTTAATAATGCTGCATGAATTGAAGTTTCATTGTGATATTGTGCATTACATTCAGCAGAAATGAACATTAAGAACAGTCCCTCCGCACGCTTAACATTGCAGATCGCTAAAGAAAAAGGTCTCAAGTGTGAGAACAAAAATCACACAGTTGCTATGGCCACCCCTGAATGATGTCTCCGAGTGATTAAATTACGTGCAGCACCAAAGGATCAAAGAGAGCAAGAGTTGTTCCCCTCTTCAAGTCAAACAAAGTGACTTTCGTACACAGTTGGTGTAATGTGTTAGCTGTTGATAATTGAAATTGCTTCTATTTTCACTCCAAGGTTTTTTCCTTCATCTGTCACCTAATTTGTGTGTGCTGCAGTTAGTCTCCTGCTGTACCCTATCTTCTCTTTTCATCTCCCCTCATCTTCCTCCTCCTCCTCCTCCTCTCCAACCTTGCCCTTTCTCTTTTGCTCGTCATTCATGAGTCTTTCCTGCTTGCCCCCATCTTTTGCCCATTGTTTGGCCTCTGTGGTGGACCAAAATGTCAGCTGTGGTCAGAAACCTGAAATCATTCTTCAGGTCATCATTTAAAATTAGCCTGAGGATGCGCCTAATTTTAGTCCTCATTCATACTGAATGGATTTTTCCTTGAAACAGGCAAAAATAAGAAAACAGCCTTGTAGCAACACTGCTTATAGTGTGGAGTCAGTAATGCTTTAGTATGGAAAATGGCCTCATTTGCATTCAAAGTGATGGACAAATACGGAGCTACGCCTCCCACAATATCTCTGGATGTGTGGCCTCGGCATTTAGCTCTGAGCGCAACTTCAGTCTCACTTTTGTGGGTCTTTATGATGTTTTTGTTTGGAGCCGATTGTGCACAGGCTGTACATCAACTCGAAGCACACGCCGCTGTTAAAATGCCAGTTTTATTTAAAAAGTGGTACAGCAATAAATCATTTCCAGACTTTTTCACACATATGGTGAACAAATATCGACTGAAAAACAAACAACTCAGTCACAAGACAATTATTTAAAAAATAAAGTTGAACGAGCTACACGCAGAAGTATCTCTCAAAACTAACTATTTCAGCGTCCGTTCTTCGGTAGGAGTCCGTCTGTCCCACATTTTGACTTGCAAATTTCTCACAAACTGTAACTGGATGTTAGGACAGCTTACCCCCCACACTGTTGCACTGTCAGTCTAAACCATTATAGCAATGAAGGATGGGAACATGGTCTAACTCTGTTAGAAGTTAGAAGTTTTAACACATCTGAATGTTGAACTTACTGAGATTCACCAGACCAGGCATTGTTTTTTTTTTTTTTTATTATTATTTTCAGCAAGCTTGAGGGCGCCACGTAGCTCGGTGTTGGAGCGGAGGCTACAGTCGTCAATACAGTTATCCCTGATCAGAGTCGCGTCCTTGGGCCGTTTTTCTGCATGTCTTTCTCTCTGACCTCCTTCCTGTCAAGCTGCTGTTGAATAAAGGCCATAAAAAAACCCTAAAAATAAAAAAAGTATATATTGGCAAGCTTGTGCTAGTGGTAGCCTCAATTATCTGTTCCCATTTGACAAGAATGGCCCCTGTTGAGTCTTATTGTTGTGGTATCCTGGTCACCTATATCGAGGTTTGATGTGTTCAGAGGAGGTGTTCGTCATAGCTTGGGTTATTTGAAATAGTTCTGCATTTTCTGTCGTCTGCCACCAGTCTGTCCATTTTCATCTCACATCAGCGAGACATTTTTTATCACACCGTCGCTCACTGAATATTTTATTTTTTGTCCATTACCTGTTGCTTTGCTATTTGTGTTAAGAAATTGAACATGTACCAAGTGAACTGCATGCTTGTGTGCCTGAGTATAGAGTTAATTTAAAGGCCTTTTTTGTTTGCACACAAAGAGTACAACAGTTTCACATCATGCTGTCTGCAAGATCCAAATAATGGGTTAGATTTAGCTGGTTAGGTTTAGGCTCTGCCCTGCATTTATACAATTTACTTGCAAAAATATTTTTAGCAAAATCATTTTAAAAGGCTAAATTTGGGAGGCCTGTGGGTCAGAAATGTTTGAATATTTTCTTGAAGATTATTCCTTTTTTCATCGAAGCAGTTACAAGACCAGAGAGTATAATGGGGCTGTTGTTTGACAACTTAAGTGGCTGCGATTTGACAAGATAAGTGGGACATGCGACGTGATGAAGAAAGCCCAGATGCCGCACAGTCTCTGAATTAGTTTGTGGAGTCAAAGCTGCAGTGTAAAAGTTTATTCTGTTACGAGCTGCTGTGTCCACCCACACAGCCGCGGTTCTTTGGGATGCGCATTTACGTAGATGCACTGTGGGGTAGTTTTAGTTGATGCTTTATTTAGCCAGACTAACTAGACTAAAAACTGCAAATGCACTTTTCTCTTCTGTCATGCTTTATGACATTTTCTGATGTTTTTTTTTTTATTCTTCTGTTTATGTTGCTGGGTTTTAGGACATTAAGCAGTAAAATATGGACAGATTTAGGCTTCGTCAGCACAACAGGATATAAATTCTTCCAATACAATTTATGTTCAAGTACATGAAAATTTGAAAACCAATATTTTCTCTTTTTTTTTTTTTTTTTTTTTTGCAACCAGCTGCTCTGCCTTCATCTTTTTGATTTGAAGCTGATAGAAGAAGGAAAGTGCTGGTCAATTTGTTCCGTTGCTCTCTTTGTGGTTTTGGCCGTTTAGCCTTAGACTTTCATGGTGTTGAAAAGATGCCGCCGTGAACCTCTTTGTTCTAGTTTCAGGGTGTGTCAGCAAACATTTTGACAGCCAGTGATTTAAAGCAATCTGCTATGTTTCTTGCATTCACAAGTCCTTTTAATGTGATTTTTACCTTGCATTTGTTTAAAATTGTGTCCAAAGCACTTTTTATAGTTAGAGCCAAAATTATTGATACCCCTACAAGATTAAAGTTTAAGATAATCTTTTAATGTTGCAAACATTTTTGTCCTGATTGGTAGTATAAATATTTTGGAGTCACCCAGCCTCAGTGGAAACATGTAAAAGGCTTTTATAAGGAAGGTTTGATTGCTCTAATAACAATTTTCCACTCATTATTAGGTAGGGTATAATTACTTTTTAATATGTCATTTTATAAGTAAATAGACACATTTAAAGCATTAGAATGTTTGACCATATTTTCACATTTTTAATAAGAAGCAAACCTTAACGAAAGTCCAACTGACTAGTAATTGTGTCAGTATGTAAAAGTTCAAAACTCCTACAAGATGGTGCTTTTAACTCTAGAAGGAATACACTTAGCTAACTGTTTGCTAAGTGTACTAGTAATACTTTCTGCATTAATTGTGCTAATTGCATAAATCAACTGAACAACAATATAGGATGCAAATGACAGTAAACAATTCTGAGGCTAATAATTTTTCTTTAAATTATAGTGAAATTGTGGTCTACTGCAGGGCTGTGTAGTAAGACTGCTCTCTCCTGCACATAATGTGACACCGCAGATAATTATAAGATAATGGATTTATAAGCAATTATGTGATGGATGCTGCTTAGGGGTTCTTTTATTGCTATAAATGAAAGCCTGGTATATTTGATATGTATCCCTTCACACAGTAAGGACAGATTTCTGAAAATATATTAAAGGAAATTTGAGCCTACAGTACAGAAACCTGCACTAGCTGTCTATAATGAAAGGTAGACATTGTTGGCAACTTGTTTCAACTTGCTGAAACATTTCACATTCTCCATGGACATAATTGGTATATGAATCATCATGAACTTACTGGAATATAAACTTGAACAAACGTTGAACTAGTTGAGAGCAGTCCAGCTATGAAAACACAATGAGTTAACAATGCTCACTCTTTCTAATAGTGGTCTTTCACATGTCCAGAAAAGAGAGAGAGCAAAAACATATTTCTCACGTCTTCAAGCTGATTTATTGTCAAAGTAAAAAAAAAAAAACAGGAGAAAGGTTTTGGATTATCCATGCTGTTTGCACTCTTTTAGATGCAGCAGCATGAATAATCATTCACCTCTGCATACCTGGTTGAGACTCCTGCAATTTATGACAATTAAAAGACTGAAAGCAGCTGCTGCAGACATGCTGACATCTAATCTCTAGTAAAGACATTTATTCAAGGTGACGGGTCATTTTGCTTAGAAAGAAATTATGAAAATGTGATTGATGTATAAATAAAATTGTATGGATTGAACTATTTGGTGTGCCAGGAAAACCACCTTTCCTGTGGGAGTGAGTGTGATTCTGATAGAAAAAAAAAAGAGAGGAACAGCTTTCTCCAGGGGGGAAATAAACCTTCCAAAGCAGAAATGTATCCCATTACTCAATCAATGGAGTACTCAAATATTAAAATATTTGTTGACCATAGCCCAGACACCAGCTATTAAACTATTTATTAAAGTGTGAATTTAGCTTTTCTCACCTTCTAAGACCTTCTTTTCCAAACACTATGAGAACTCATTGCTCCGTCTTCAGAAATGTTGAACTATGTAGTGAAAGCTTTTGGTTTGGGCTTTCAGCACTGAGAGTACTGCAGGTGGAGTAAAAATGATGATGAAAATGTGTGATGAAATCCTTGTTTGACTGAGTAGCCGCCGCCTGCGGTCCTCTGACACTGGATCAGAACCTTGATTCATTGGCTTCTTCAGACACACTGATCTGGATCTAAGGTAGAGAGTGCACTCTAGCATAAGCGCACACATGAAGACCACAGAAATGCAGCCTGATGTCCAGTTTAGTTCACGCATAATATGCTGGTTTATTCCGTTGTCGGGCCTTTTATTTACTGAATTTCCTTTAGTTGAAAGCCTCATTATGTTAATTTGCTGAAAATATTGAAACACTTTTATTTGGATCTCTTTTTCTATCAAATGCTGCTTTCCTAAAAATAACAAAAACAAAACAAAAAAAGCGTCTTTAGCTCATGTGATGTTTTGGATTTGATCCATGTAGTCTAGACCAGTGTTCCCCAACATAAAACATGCAGGCACACTGCCCTGCATGTTTTATGCGTTTCCTTGATTTAAAACAAGGAAATGTCTAAAGATCACAGTGACTCAGTTACATGAAAACCTTGATCATGGCTCGTATGTCTCTTGAGGTTCAATCTTTCATCCAGATTTTTAATCAGATTTTTACGAAGCATATGAGAATACGGTAAATATAAGGCGGTGCTCCTTCAGGTCTCACTAAACTTGGAATAAAATCCTGGTCAAAGAACAAGAAAATGAGAGAAAGTAAAATGGTGGGGTAAAATCAGCGCTGCCAGTCGACGCAGACCAGCTACTTGCTGCTAATGGAGCTTGAGCTGCATGTGGTGCATTGTAAACTCCCACGGAGAAGCCAATGCAGCAGCCAGTGATTAATCCTCACATCAAATGCACTAATGGTTTATTTTTTGGGGGGGAACTACAGATCCCTGGAAGTACTGGGCTTCATTGATAACAAAACCCAACAGTGAAGGTGTGGGACAGGGGGTGACCAAGGTAAACACATCCTGCTGCCTTAGTACTTGTCTGCCTGTGTGCATACCTGTGGATTGACTCCAAGCAGCTAATTTTCATATTTAGGATTTATTTTTTTAAGTGTGATTCTGATGCAAAGCACGGCGTGTTTTCAGCCACAAGCGGGAGTTAAAGTTTGTCATCGAACCCTGCAGTGAAGATATTGTTTGATCACTGTATGCCTTCCTCTAAGTTTAGGGGAGAGTTTATTTATTTATTTATTTATTTTTTGCAGACATTTGACACTAGAGTATTTAAACATCTGCCTGCTGTTTTTGTTTGACGCAGAATGTGGCCTAGGTGAATGGATGGGGTGGCAGATTGTGTTGCAAAACTCTTTATATCCATGAAAACAAAACTAATATATATATATATATATATATATATATATATATATATATATATATATATATATATATACACACACAGCTCGACTTTCCACTGAAAAGAAATTAGTTGCGATCACCAAACTGTGACTCAGTGCTTTCTGAGGTGACGGCTCGGACTGCGGGAAACCATTATAGTGTCGTATATGACAGCATGAACAGGGGGCAAGGCCGATTATGAGCTTTCTGGCTTTGTCTGTGTTAATGGTTCCATCCAGTAAATCACCTCCAGTGAGCAGTGCTAACATGATTCATTTTAGCTCATTAATGTTAATTGAAGCTGGTCTCTCCTTATGAAATCTTATGTAATCACTATTGAGATCACAGGAGCTCTGGAAAGAGCGCCTCACCGTAAATAATGTTTGACTGGAAGCAAAAGAAGCAGCAGGAGTTTGTTTTATTTATCAGAAGAATGTAGTAAAATTCATATATTTTTCTACAATAGTCCCATTTCCTAGGTTTATTCATAACCCTAAGACTTGGTGTTTAATTCAGGTAAATGTAAAATATTCCACTGAGAAATGGGATGTTTTTTCGCAAAGCTAATTCTTTTTAACTCTCTGTGGATAAGCATACATGAGTTAATAAACCAATGTGTTTTGTAGCCTGAAGTCGAGCCCAAAGTTTGCTTGAAACTTGCATGAAACTTAAGTCGCCTTCTGTGCTGTGAGTGGCATAAACCACTGATCTGCCGCCTGGGTGCAGAGGGATGAAGATGAGCTGTTCTGGCTGCAGCAGGGAAGGGCCGCTACGTAGGGCCCGGGGCCTCGGAGTGTTTCAGAAGGAGGGGGGCCAACGGCAGACCTGGTTAGGAAGAAATCGAATGATATGAGATTTCATGTTAATATCTTCAAAAATCTTAAATAAAAGCTTGAATTTCTTGTCAGTCATGCGAGGGGTCTGAATAGTTGCTAAATATAGCGACAAAGTAAAGAAGTGGCCAATTATGAAATTTAAATTAATATTTTACTTCATGGTTTCAACTGGTCAGCAGTAGTTGTCGGATGCATTATGGCACTAAACATTGTGCAAAATGGTTACTTTTGCAAGCTTGCCAGTGAAGTTACATGGCTTCATAATTTCCAAATAAGCAACTGAACATTTTATTTTTTAAGACTTATAATAAGGGGCAAGGAGGTGAAAAGGAAATTCAGTGTCAATATTATTTCCTTGAGGAAATATCTAATATGTATGAGATGTTATATTAAAAACAAAAACTTTTCAAATTGAAATGAGGCTTTGGGATGAAGGTGAGCAAATCTTTTAACCCGCTAGCATGCACAGCATTCTGAATAGATCTAAACTAAGCAGATCCCCCCCTTTGGAGCTTGTGACTCAGCCTGATTAATTCAGGCACTTAGCTCATGTTCAAAACACAGACAGCTCAAAGCCTCTCTTCCTCTTCTGCTGTATTTGTTCACTCCAGGATCTCGAAGTCTCCAAGTTTTGCTACAATCACTTCCTTTCTTTGTTCTTTGCCAAAAATTTTCAAACAGTCCTCTCTTGCATTGTCACATCCACTTCCCATTCCTCTGTCTGTCTTCATCTCTCTCTCTCTCTCTCTCTCTCTCTCTCTCCAAATTTATTTCTCAACCACCTTTCTTCTACCCTTTAAAATTTTGAGGTACAGCGGATGAATGTTTGCATCTCGGGATATATGCGACTCTGCCAGAGCATGTCGTTTCTTGATTCTGGGTTGTTTGTGATCTGCTCAGTGAGAGTAAAAGCTCCTTTAATTAACAGCAGCACGAGGAGTTGTTGAGGGGGAAAAAAAAGGTGTTCAGCTAGAGATCACTTAACTTTTTCAGTTTCCTCCATCTGCTTTGAGTTTATTTCTCACTTTCCATGATTTGTAACTTGCCTGTCAATCTCAAGCAGATTTCTCGCAGGGTTTGGGCTTATTGGAAGTCTGTCGTCCCCATTTGTTTAGCACTATCTACTTATGCAGGTCCGATGGCTCAGAAATCACTTTGAAATACGTGCTACATGTTAGTGATTTCAGTAAAGGGAGCTCATTTGTCACAACTCAGATTTTTTTTTTTTTTACATTAACGTCTCAGATAAATTTGCGGCCATTGTAATTGCTGTGGTATTCATTATGTGGGTGTGCCATCATTAGACAAACTTATTAAAAATACTCTGTGAAAACAGTAATGGAGTTCAACCGAGTGCCGCGTTAATCGAGACCTGCAGGGAATAAATACCAAAGAAAATATGCTCCCTATTAGTGGATGCACATGTGCACACGCGGGCCATTTGCACTCGTGGCTAAATGTCAAGTTCTCTTCTAGCCATGGCCAGCAGAATACAAAGCGCCTCTGCATTTGCTGGCAATACATTGTGCAATATGTTTCTTGACAGAAAACCTGGGGAAACGGTGAGCATAATTCGTCATGTTTTCCTTCGGCTCATGCTATTGCTCCACTTTACCGGAGTGGAAGGCCATTAAAGTTTCTATGTTCCTGCAGTAAATAAAAATCTCCTTTGAACCCGTAATCTGTCGTCAAAGGAAGTAATAATAATAAAAAAAAACTAAGAAATTATTAATGCTAGACAAGGTCAAAATACTAATAAAAGGTAAATTTGAAGCACACAAAAATAACTCATACAGGGCTAAGACTTTAATGTAGCAAAGATCTGATGCCAAGTACCAGATTTTGGTGTGAGAAATTGGTAAAATATACCATATAAAGTAAAGTTGACAAAAAGTAAGTAAACTGAGAGATCAGAAAAATGATCTTTTTCTGAGCTGGGTGATGTAACCCACTAGAGCTGAACATGTGCTGTCAGAGAGATGCACCAGATTCTCACACCTTTAATTGAATTGCTTGGGTCAATGTTGTGAAAAAACTGCTATTTCATCAGACTGTTCATTTGAATGTATGGATAGAAAGTAGCAACAGTCGGCAGCCAAATAAAGATTAACTTATGAAGTATTTAGTGCATTTGAAATTTAAATAAGAGCACAGCTTTAAATTTCTACATCTGACTTGTGAATGGCAGTAAAGTGGCAGCTCCGTCATCGGATTGCTGCAAATCTCATTCCCAGTTGAAAGGTAAGGAGGCAGCTGGAACGACCTGCTCAGACAGGACTCACCTGTGCTTCAGACGGGCAGTCGAGTAGAGGAGACCTGAACAATGTGGCATTCAGAGCAAAGTTCTTACTTTATGAAGCAGAACCACTT